TCTGGTGGAACTGCCAGAAGCCAAGTCAGCACTGCCTTCATCCTAGATTCAGTTCTTATTAGTACCAGTTTGAATAATCTGTACTGTACAAATACTCCCCGTCTATGATCCCTCTGGGTCCACGTTACTCTGTATTTATAGTACCTCTTCAGCAATACTCAGAAAGCTGGTCTTGATTATCATTGCTGTGTCAATGGCTCTACACTTGATCTTGCATCACTACCCTAATTTAAACTGAGGCTGTATCAAGTACAGTTAGCCTGTCACAGTATTTTCTGAAGTTCAGGATAGCAGAACGAGCACTTTGCTAATGAAAGCATCAGTTGATAGGAGTTCAGCAAATCAGAGGTGACTACCACAGCTTTGATTGATGCTATTAGAAATGCAGTCAAAAAAATAAGAGCTTTCATTTATTCAATGTACCTTCCATTACAACCAAAATCAGAGCATGAAAAAAGTCACGACTCCTCCACAGAACATGCAATAAAGCAAACCTTTCACATCATTGATGCCTAAATATTTCAATTATCCATACCTGTTGGCATGTGTTTTAAGAAACTGATTGGCTCATCACACCTTTGAAGCCAGGGCTGGCCTTCAAGCCAACTTCTCAGGATGTCAAATCAACAGCTGAGGACAAAGAGGGGCTTTTGCTCAGCCACTCTGCCTGGGAGGGTGCCAAAATCATTTTCTATCCTAGGGCCTGAAACAGTGACTAGTAGAGCTTGCTGAGTTCCCCAGAAAAGAGTTTTCCATCAGGAAAATGCTACTTTCTTACAAATGAAATGTTCCACAGGAATGTGCTGATTCCATTAAACTTTCAAGAGAGACCACAGGCCAGCTGACCAACCACACCTGGTTTCCTGTCAAACTAGACTGTCCAGGCTGCCCAATTTCCAGAGCTCCCAGAGTGTCAGCAGTCTCCGGGCTCCAGTGCCCCCAGCAGCTCATCTAGCGAGCTCTGCCAGAACTGGGACTCCCCAAGCTTACTTGGCAGGCTGACACTTAGTTGGGGAGGCTGGACCAGAAATTTTCAAAAAATGTTTAGGTTTTTAGTTCTCCTTTTAATTCTTCTGAAACAGATTATTTTGAAAACGTCCATTCCAGAGAACATGTTGCATATCTGACTTGTCATGCAGATTCAGAATGAAAAGTTTTCAGAAATACAAATCATAGACTCAGAGGGTTGGAAGACATATTAAGAGTCCAATTCCTGTATCGGGGGCGGGACTCATCTGCTGTGGCAACTCCTGCTGGTAGCTCTGGTGAATTAGTCCTCTCTCACCAGGGTGTCCCCTTCTGGCAGTGTCTTACCTGTCTGCAGTCCACGCTTGTGTTCCAGACCCGTGTCACTCCTGGACCATGGCATCCTCTTCAGAACACTGTACTCTGGCAGTGCCCACTCCAGTGGTCTCTTGTCCCCAGTCCTGTGTCTTTAGTGCCACTGTGGCCAACTGTGGTCTCCAAGTTTAGCCCCTCCGTCCCAGCAGGAAGCCACCGTCTATATCAGCCACGCCTCAGTGGCAAGGTGTGGTACAAGAGGGCGGGGGGACCCAAGCCCACTCACTACTTTGGGTCCCGACTCCGGGACCCTCTGGTGACAGCCTTGTCCCCAGTGACCCTTTGCAACCTCCTGGCAGGTATCAAGATGGAGCCTCCCTTTCTAGCCCGCAACCCTGAGCCTGTCCAACACTGTTCTCCTGAAGGTGCTTCTCTGGGAACCAGGTCCAGCACCTTCCCTGGTCAGGGCCTAACTCCTCACTCTCTGCGGGGCTGCCTGAACAAGCCACACACTGATTGGCTCTTTAAAAGCCTCTACCTGACTGGCCAGGGCTCTGTGCAGGCTCCCTCCTGCCTGCTTTAATCCCTTCCCGGCCAGTGTGGAGTAGTCACTCCACCACACCCTGCTAAAAGCAAGACCAATCCCAACTACATCATCCCAGCAAGGCCTCTGTCAATCCAGGGCTTAAAAATGTAGTTGAAAATTCTGGTTCAGGTTCCCAAATGGCTCAAGTGTTTACCATTATGAAACATATCCCAGGCATAACACAAGTACGCAGACTGACACGGAAAAGATTGTTTGCATCAAAACTCTTATTTGGAGCTTTGTGGATTCCAGAAGCAGAAAGAATTCTGTTTGCCACTCAACACTCTCCTGGAAAGCCCAATATGACAGTGGATAGATGAAACCATCTCTCTGCTTCTCTCATACCTTCCAAATAACGTTGTTTTTGTCTCAAATAAGTTTTTTTCTTTACCAGTTTCTGTGCATGACCTCTATGAGACTGTAATTAGACTACCTGGGAGATGGCAGAGTGATTATTCCTCACACAAAGCACAGTCAACCTGTGGAACTCCTTGCTAGGAAATGTTGTGAAGGCAAGGACTTTAACAGGGATCAAAAAAGAACTAGATACATTCATGGAGGAGAGGTCCATCACTGGCTATTAGCCAGGATGGTGTCCCTAGCCTCTATTTATCAGAAGCTGGAATTGGTGACGGGGATGGGATTGCTTAATGATTACTTGTACTGATCATTCTTTCTGGGGGCAACTAGCATTGGTCACTGTTGGAAGACAGGATACTGGGCTAGATAGTCTCCTTTGGTCTGGCCATTCTTAAGTTCTTGCTCCAGCTATTAAAGCAACTGTCAAAGTCCACCCATGATTTAAAAACCTTTTAGATCTCAGTGATGAGCAGGACAAGAAATGTTTTTGCTTTTTTTAACATTTACAAGTGTTACTGAATATTTTAGATATGAGCAGCCATCTGCAGAATATAACTAACATTTTTCTTTTTTATATTGTGCAAACCAGAAATGCATTCAATATGACTGCTTATTCACTGGAATGCCTGACTGCACTTTGCTCAAAGAACATACAGCACACCAAACATTACCAGAATGTACAAAATCAGCATGGTACACCTTCCATGGCATTCTGAATACTGTAAAAGCATGTCCTAGATTTGAATGCATCTGTACTGCTGGCAGCCCACTTGGAAGAGAGGACACACAAAAGTTTGTCATTCTGGCTTAGAGCTTTCTAGCTGAACCCACTGCAGGCAACATGCCAGACCACAAGGAAAACAAATTCATGTTACACTTTTTTCTAAACATTCTACTACATCACTATGATTGTCTTCTGTTATTGCGTAAGTAATAAACAACGAAGTCAGAGATAATAAGGGAGGCAGGAGTAGCATATGTATTTATACAGATATACTTTTGTACTTACAAAGCTTTAGGGCTGACCAACATTGTACATTACAGAATGTATTTATTCATTACCACAAAGTTATAATTCGCCAAAAAAGATGAAAAAATAAAATACACACAGCCATGTACTAGTGCAACTGGAGGCTATTCAGCATATTTAGCCAACACAAAGGATATTAACTTCAACAGATGTATTACACAGAATGAGATTACCCGTAACTAAGGATGTGTGAAGTGTCCCAACACAAAGAGTATCCTGAATATAAACTAACATTTACAGGATAAACTTAAAAAAAAATAGTCTGGTAGCACTTTAAAGACTACTAAACATGTGGATAGTGTCATGAGCTTTCATGGGCACAGTCCACTTCTCCAGATGACGAGAGTGTTGGATGTCCAGGACCAAAAAGTCGGATGTCCTGAACATCCAACACTCTCGTCATCTGAAGAAGTGGAGTGTGCCCACGAAAGCTCGTGATACCACCTACATGCTTTGTTAGTCTTTAAAGTGCTACCAGACTATTTGTTGTTTTAAGTTTATCCTGTACAGACTGACTCGGCTACCCCCTGAAACTTCTTAACATTTATAGGTACAAGATTGGCATATAGGAACATCACTGGTAGATACTATTAAGTATGTACCACAATTAAGAGTTACGTCATGTTTTACATCTAGACACCAAAATGTTTGATCTGTAAGACTGGAAGAACAAAGGTTCCATGCAGTATTTTTGAAACATAATATTGTATTTTGTTTAAGTTAATTAAAAAACACTAGGGATGTTAACGGGTACCCAATTACCTGGTAAGCATCACCCAGGTACAGGTAACGGTGAACCTGTACCTGGGAACCTGTACCCTGCTGAGCCCCCGCACAGGGCTACCAGCTCCAAGTCCATGTGGGCTGGGAGCTGGCTGGAAGCAGCCAGACTGGAGCAGACCCCGCCCACCCTCGTTTAATCAATTAACTGGTTAAACTTAACATTTAAATGGTTAACTAAATAAGATTTTACAGCCCTACACACACACACACACACACACACACACACACACACACACACACACAGAGAATAGGTGTTCCTCCTTTCACTAAGGTCTTGATATTTACATAGTTTCTCACAGTTGAAAAATGCCAGCAGAAATACCTAAGATTTTAAAGGAAAACTACTTTTTGAAAAAAAGAGCGATCCTGTCCTATGCTCCCAGCATGACAAAAACAAGGGGGCATATCCTTCATTCACATTCCTTTCAATGAAACAAGTTTCATATCACCAACTTACAAACATCTCCCAACTGCAATCATTGGAACGCATGGGTACTCAATCTTCAAAGGGATTTAATCCCAAAAGGAAACACATTCTGCCTCTCTGAACCTATAACTTACCTTGTCAATACAGGACTATGTAGCACTTTAAAGACTAACAAGATGGTTTATTAGGTGATGAGCTTTCGTAGGCCAGACCCACTTCCTCAGATCAAATAGTGGAAGAAAATTGTCACAATCATATATACCAAAGGATACAATTTAAAAAAATGAACACATATGAAAAGGACAAATGATGTACATGTCCTTTTCATATGTATTCATTTTTTTTTAATGGTCTCCTTTGGTATATATGGTTGTGACAATTTTCTTTCACTATTTGATCTGAGGAAGTGGGTCTGGCCTACGAAAGCTCATCACCTAATAAACCATCTTGTTAGTCTTTACAGTGCTACATAGTCCTGTATTTTGTTTCAGCTACACCAGACTAACATGGCTACATTTCTACCACTATTTTACCTTGTCAATGTGTGGGTGCCAGTACTCATCATGCGTTGTCTTGGCCTCTGTGCTGTTTATTCTTGAGAAGAAGGTTGGCTTGGTCAGATACATGGAAGAAGAGCTAATACCAAATGCCTGGGATATTGTTTGCTGAATTCTCTGCCTTACATCACTGCAAAAAAGAACATGACACAGCACCTTAGAACAGGGTACAGCACAGGTCCAGTTTAAACCACATTACTGTTCTGCTGCTTCTTTCACGATCTGCTCATATAGTTTATTGATTGTCCATTGTCATTGCTTTTCCCAGCCTAAATTTCTTCAGGCTTGTATTTTTTTCTCCCCTTTGTCTTAACAAAACTGGATCAACGTTATAAGACTCACTATCTCCAGCTTTCTTTTTGTTTTATTCTCAGAAGCTAGAGAGCAATAATTTTTATTTTTTTCTATATAGAAAGTCTGGCATTTTATTAACAGGCTTCTCAGAGGGCATAAAAAATTAAGCTAGTTATACCATGTGACTGCTCTTTCCTTCTCATAGCCCTTCTCCCAACTCATTTTCTTTCTATAGTCTCTCTGCCAATGAGCCATGCTCCCAAGCCAACCCAATAAAACCAAAAAGTTAATCAAGTTGCAAGAGAAAGACAGAAACAAGGCCCTAGACTTTAATTTTCTTGAGGCAAGATCTATGGTCCCAATCATTTTGCAAAATATTGTGTACACTTATAGGTTTAATACATAATACAAAATTAAAACAAAATATTTGACAGATATCCCTTTAATTTGTAGCAACCAACCCAGTAAGAAATCCATATCTTCAAAAATCTGTACCTCGACAGACACATTTCTGAGGCAGTCATAACAAAGGAACTAATTATTCAGATGGGAAAAAAGTTTAATCTCAATATTATTTTGTTTTCTTTCAGTTTTAACAAACTGATTATTCTCTTTCTTCCTGATTTACAAGTGCAGAGTCTAAAAAAAGCACATTGAAAGGGGAGAGGTAGATACGTTGGAGGGTAGGGATAGTGTCCAAATGACCTAGATAAATTGGAAGACTGGGCCAAAAGAAATCTTATGAGGTTCAACAAGGACAAGTACAGTGTCATGCATGTGGGATTGAAGAATGGCAAGCACTGCTATAAACTGGAGACTGACTGGCTAAGCAGAAGTTCTGTAGAAAATGACCTGGGGATTACAGAGAATGAGAAACTGGATTTGAGTCAACAGTGTGCCCTTGTAGACAAGAAAGCTAATGACATATTAAGGTGCATTATGAGGAACATTGCCAAAGATCTAGGGAACTGATTATTCACCTTTATTCAGCACTGGTGAGGTCCTGTGTCCAATTTTGGGTCCTCCCTTACAAAAAGGATGTGGATGCATTGGAGAGTCGCTAGCAGAGGGCAATAAAAATGATTAGGAGGCTGGAGCACATGACTTACAAAGGGAGGGAGAGGGATTTGGGTTTATTTAGTCTGCAGAAGCGAAGAGTGAGGGGGGATTTGAGAGCAGCCTTCAACTTCCTGAAGGGGGTTTCCAAAGAGGACGGAGAGAGGCTGTTCTCAGTAGCAGCAGATGGCAGAATGAGAAGCAATGGGCTCAAGTTGCAGTGGGGGAGGTCCAGGTTGGATTTTAGAAAATACTATTTCACTGGGAGGGCAGTGAAGCACTGGAATGGGTTACCTAGGGAAGTGCTGAAATCCCCATTCCTAGAGATTTTTAAGTCCCAGCTTGACAAAGCTCTGGCTAGGATGATTTAGTTGGGATTCATCCAGCTTTTAGCAGGAAGCTGGACTCGACCTCCTGTGGTCGCCTCTAACTCTAGGATTGAGGGTGCTCATTGCTTCATAGAATTCATCATTAGAATGATTCACAACAACAGGGATAACACTAAGGAATGAAAAGAAAAAACAATCTATCCCTGGGGTTTCATGCTGGTGCAGGTGGGCCTGACCCAGCTGACAGCTACAATATAGCTATACTGAAGTACCTCATCGCTTTAGTTTGCTTTTGTCCTTCTTTACACTGGTTTAAATCATATTTATCATCAGAATGATTAATAATAACGCCCATTTCACAGAGATCACATTTCATCTGTAGATTTCAAAGACTTTTACAGTTTAAGGTATTTATCCTCACAACTGTCCTGAGAGTCAAGGAAGCATTATTGTCCTTTACCATTACTGTAAAGACAGGCAACTGAGACACAGGGAGACTTGTCCAAGATCACACAGTCCATGGCAGAACAGGGGGTCGAATCCACATCTCCTACATCCTTGGCCAGTGCCCTAACCACCCTTCATCTCATAATGCCCCCGAGCATCTTCTTTGAAATGTCCAATTTTTTAAGACATAACATTTATGCTCTCAGAGAACCTTAAAAGCAACACTGATTTCCCTCTTATTCTGATGCCTTTTCCTTAAAAGTGCATTCTGTAGTCCTTATAAGCGGTCTTAAAGCTTCACTCCCAAATGCATGATTTGTAAAATGGGAAGGGAGAAATGAAGTTCTTCTCAGATCTAGTGTTACCAGATGGTTTAAAAAAATACCGGACACACTTGATCTCAGATGTGGGGGGAGGGGAGACCAGCCAGGAGGGGAGCAGAGCTAGTCGGGAGCAGGTCAGGGAGAGCAGGGCTGGCCAGGGGAAATCGGGGGGAGGGGGAGAGGAAGAGAACTGGCTGGCGGGAAGCAAGGCTGGCCGGGGGGGAGCGGAAGGGAGGGGAAACGGCTGGTGGGAAGTGGGGCTGGCCCAGGCACACGCAGATCCCAGGGTGCTGCCCGTCCCGTGCACGGTCCCAGCGGAGCGCATGGGCGAGTCTGGCCCCGGGGATTCCATCCCGCTCCCCCCCCACTTCCCTCCTCTCTACTGTGTAGTTGCGTACTGCCTGGCTGGTAGACACGCTCATGCAGTGTATGTGTGTCTACCAGCTACCAGCCAGGCAGTATGCAACTACGTTCTAATACTCATGATAATAAAACTTAATTAGAAAATACCGGACATATCCAGTATTTTCAGACACGTTCACGCAGAGTGAGCGCGTCTACCAGCCAGGCAGTACACAACTATGTACTGATACTCATGATAATAATAAAAACGTAATTAGAAAAACATTTATATGTTTGGTATTTTCTCAATTTGTTTCCTGGACAAAAAGCTTCAATACTGGACACCTGGCAACCCCACTCAGATCTTCCTCATGAACAAAAATGATAAGGAAAAGTAACCGGTTCAGATCTGCCAAGAACTCCTCCCATCATCCTCTACCAAAAGGGATGGGTTTGGGTCCCAGAGGACTGCCCCAAAAGCAGATTTGACCAATCAGGGAGTGTTCTGGGCCAGGGTGATCATATGGGATAGCAGCTGTGTATAAAGAGGAGACTGGCAGCTTTAGGAGGGGAAGTAGCAGCATGAAAGTAGAGATTCAGAAACACAGAGAAGCTGAGGGATCTTGAGTACCATCCCTGAGAGGAGATTATGCAGGAGCAATTCAAATGAAGCTGAAAGGAAGTGAAATGAATTTCACTTGCTTCAATTGCCTCAGACCTTTCTTTGGCATCTAGTGCTACCTCTGGATTAAAAACTTGTGTGATACTTTTATCCTGAAACTGTACAATACCCACTGCAAAAAGGGGAGAGACACAGTCAGGAGGAGGCAGGGCTTGGTGGCTCTGTTTGCCCTGCATACCTGACATGCTTAATCTGAGTGGCACAAAGGCCATAATAGAGGAGGCTGAGAACTCACTAGAAATACACCCTGGAAGCTACTAATTTTAGCACCTCCATAGCAGCCTGAGGATTTTAATATCTTGCTATGTATTCTGTAAGCTATGTGTTTAAAGAGTTCAGGGCTTGGATTCAGTTTGAACAAATGACCAATACTTTAGATGCTTATCTGATGTACCTAAAATACTTAGATCTACCACCATGGGCAGAGGAGTACTTGTGAGAACAGATTTTTTGGTAAGTTGGACTTGGTCCTGCCTAGAGCAGGGGGCTGGACTTGATGACCTTCTGAGGTCTCTTCCAATACTATGATTCTATGATTCTAAGATAATCAGTGTTTCTTGTCCTCTGACATCTTGCATTTGGGGTAATCATGTGAACCTGAGCATCTGATACCCACTTGTCAGAGCTGTAAGAGTACAGAAGACAGAAAGAGGGCAATGGAGAATCCAGCCCTCAGCACATGTAAAACCTCACTAAGGGCTTGTCTTCAGTTACCCTGAGATAGATGCTCTGGAGATTGATCTCCTGGAGTTCGATTTAGTGTGTCTTGTAAGGACCAGCTAAATCAACTGTTGATGGTGCTCCCATCGACCCCAGTACTCCACCAGGTCACAAAGAGTAAAGGGAGTCAACGGGTGAGTTTCTTCCGTCAGCTTCCCACAGTGAGGATACCTTAACCCAAATTTCTGTGGTATGTCGACTCCAGTTACGCTATTCTCGTAGCTGAGGTTGCATATCTTAGGTCACCTTTCCCCAGTAACACAGACCTGGCCTTAGAACTCACAAGGTAGAGCCTTCAAAAAATAATGGAAACACTAGAAAAACAATAGGCAGTCAAACTGTTTTAAACTGCTGGTTTGGTTTCAGTTTGGGAGAGAATTTCAAGGGAGAAAGGGAATTTTTCATTTTATCCAGACCTGCTGGCTCATATTCAGTTTCAGCCCTTTTCTCTTCTACACAGCGTACCCAATTCACCTTTTCTCTGCATGCTGGCTAGTCTTCCCACCGGCGCAAAATGGTGTAAAATGCTACCAGTCTGAGTGAAAGGATTCAAAGAAGGATTGATGTGTGTATACATCACAAGCATATTTAGCATTATGCTACTAACTATTTAAACATAAATAAGACGTTTGAACAACTATAAACTCTCATGCATCGGGACATAAGCCAGTATTTTCCCCATTGAGCAGCAAATGGATGATACTTTGGTTAACTCTGCTGAAATTTTAAACAGGACTTTTAAATCTGGAACACTGTGGCTCTGCCTTTAAATATAGTAAGAGCCGCTGCAGCTCTGCTTTTTAAATGTAGTAAGAGCCTCCTCACAGAGGCGCAGCGGGGCAGAGAAAGGGGAAGGGGGAACAGCAGCGTGCAGCTGCTTCTAGCTTCACTTCACCGTTTTGGGACATTTCAGTGTTTTATGGGGACAGCGGGACAGGAGATTTAAAAGCGGAACTGTCCCAGAAAATCCAGGACGTATGGTCCACGTAAGCATGAGGGCACAAAAATTATAATTCATTCGGAAGCAGCTGGTGTTTTGACACAGCCAGACTGGAAACCAACCTTCTGGCTCAGATGCCTGTTCTTGTTTTATTGCTGTAATCAGTAATACTCAGACGGGCATTCAGTTAGTGCTCTCCAGAGTATATTTTAAACAGGCCTGTATAGGTAAGTGAAAGTAATAAAGATAAATGCTCCTCAGCATACAACAATCCATTAAAGACATAAGCCGCTAAAGTCACGGTTAAAAAGGAACAAAAACATTTAATAGGGATGTCAATGAGTAGATGATTAGACCAGTGGTTCCCAACCTTTTTTCTCCGCAGACTGACAAACCCAGTCACAAACTTTTGGCAAAACGGTAACATTTTATTTGCATATTTGCATGTTTATTATGCAAATCATGAATATGCAACTAAAATGTTACTAGTCCACCAAAAGCCCAGCCCCCAGAGCCCCGAGTGCCAGCCCTAACCCCTAGAGCCCCCCACCCCTCCACTAGCCAGACATTGACCCCAGAGTCCCCAGTGCCAGCCTCCCACCCTCAGAGCCCCCCATCCCAAATGCCTCAGTGACAGCCCCACCACCAGACTCCCCCAGAGCTAGCCTCCTGTTTCATGCCCTTTAGAGCCCCCCAGCACCAGCCTCCTGTTCCCAGAGTCCCACTGTAACCAATCCTGATAGAAGTTCCCCCAGTGCCAGCCCCCAATATCAGCCCCATTCCCAGAGCCTCCCAGTGCCAGCCCTGCCCCCATTTCCTCCCCACTACTAACTTAGCCTCCAGGGACCCCAGCCACTAGCCCCCCCCCCCATGCCTGCCCTGCCCTCCTCACCTTGCCCTGCGCTGCTGCCCATGTGGTGGCGACTAAGGGCTGAGGCTGGGGTACACCGCCCAGCACCTCCCCTCCCACCACAGTGTTGAGAGAGGCGTGTCCTGCCCTGCCTCTCAACCAATCAATGGTGGGCAGGGGCGGGGTCCCCTCCCAGCTGCAAAAGAGTGGTTTGCTGCGCAGGGTCTCCTCCCACCCATGGAAGAGCACTTCACTGAGTGGTGGGAGGGCTGAGCAGAATGGCTCCACACAGCCCTCCCATCACACAGGGAAGCGCTCTTCTGCAGTTTGGAGGAGACCCTGCCCCTGCCCAGCACTGATTGGCTGAGAGGCGGAGCAGGACATGCCTCTCCCAACAGTTGTGGCAGGAGGAGGCGGCACTGGTTGGTGTACCCCAACCGCAACCCCGAGAGCTGCCGTGGCCTGGCTGCTAGATGTCCACAGCCCAACGGTTGGGAACCACGGGAC